AGAGGAATTTTTCCAGCGCTTTCACTGAGCTTTGGATAATGCCCTATGAGAGAGCCACCAGCTTTGGGCTGCATTCCCAAGCAACCCGACTCCAAGAAGACCCGGTCCCGGCGCGCCGGGGGCCGCTACCGGCCTCACACCGTCCACGGGCACCTCTTAACGGTTTCACGCCCTCTTGCCTTTCCAATGGAGTGAGATAATGTTTCTCCTTTCTTTATGCTTTTTTTTTGTAAATGGAGAGACAATATATGAGAGAACTCACCAGAGCTAGAGTACCTGTGTGACCAACACCTGCAGAGACATAATTCCTTCTGAATAGACCCCGTGGTGAGATAATCAGGACTGCTGCAAGCTATCATAATTCCCAGTTAAAATTCAGTATCATTTATTTGGTTCATTCTTAGTCACACTCATCTCTGATGTACCCAGACTGTCAGGCTTCTGCTGGGGGGTTGGGAGAAATAACAGGTTTCAAGCTTTGGACACATTCGTTTTCTGAAATGCTGAAATGTTTCCAGACATTCTCTCTTTGAATGGCATCTGTTGTAGTTTTCAAGTGAGAGAGATCAGAACTTAAAAATACAGTGGCAAAATTTGAAGAATCAAAAGCTTCTATTTGCATTAGCCTCCATTTTTTGCACACTTAAAATGGCCTGATTCCTTAAAACACTGAGGATATGGCCTGGTCTACACTTAAAACGTACACCACCAGTATAGCTCTGTGAGTGAAAGAAACACACACCCTAGCAACATAGCAAGGGCAGCAAAAAAGGCCTTCTGTCAGCATAGCTAATGTCATTTGGGGAGGTGATGCCCCAATACCATCAGAACTCCTTCTGTCAGCATATTCTGCCTCCACACAAGGGGGCGATGGAGTGTGGACATAGGCTATGTCTACACTGAGGGCTTGGCTACACTTGCGAGTTAGAGCGCATTAAAGCAGCCTCGGGAGCCCTAGCTCACTCCCCGTCCACACTGGCAAGGCACGTAAAGCACTCTGACTCCAGGGCTAGAGCGCTCCTGGTACTCCACCTCAGCGAGAAGATTAACACTTGGTGCACATTGGCTGAAACGCCCGGGCGTCAGTGTGAACGAGGTGTTCCATTACTGCACTCTGATCAGCCTCTGGAAACATCCCATAATCCTCTTAAGTCAAGTGGCCACTCTTGTCATTGTTTTGGAATCGGCTGTAGGAATGCGGATATGCCCTTTGAAAGCTCCGTTTCTGACAGCCAGCTGCTTATCTGCTCTGAGACAAAGCAGCCATTATTGTGGAATGCTGTGTGTGTGTGTGAGAGAGAGAGAGCGGGGGGGGGGAGGTCTGTTGCTATCTGAACTTACAAGACAGCATGCTGACATGCTCTCAGCCACCCCCAAAAACCCACTCTCTCTCCCCCCACATACACACAACACACTCCCTATCACACTCCAGCCCACCCCCCGCATTTGAAAAGCACGTTGCAGCCACTTGCATGCGGGGATAGCTACCACAATGCACTGCTCTCTGTGGCATTGCAAGAGCTGCTAATGTGGCCACGCCAGTGCGCTTGCAGTTGTCAGTGTGGACAGATTGCAGCGCTTTCCCTACTGCGCTCTACGAAGGCTGGTTTAACTCAAAGCGCTCTACATCTGCAAGTGTAGCCATGCCCTGAGCTCAGAGGTGTGACTACAGCATGTGTATACGTACCTGAGCTACCTTTGATCTAGCTAACTCAAATAACAATAGCAGCAAAGCAGGGGTAGCAGCACATGCTGATCAAGCGCACCTGGGACCCTGGGTATGTACTCAAGTGGCCATGCTGTAGTCACACTGCTCTGGCCAGGCCAACCCTTAAAATGTAGGTCAACGTAGCTACTGTGCTCAGAGGGTGTAACATATCCACAACCCTGAATGCCGTAGCTATGCCAATCTAACCCCCAGTGTAGACACAGCTATGTCAACGAAAGACTGCTTCTGTCAATCTAGCTACCGCGTTTTTGGGGAGATGGTGTTCCTCCACTAATGGAAAAGATCCTCTTGTTGCTGTAGGCTGGTCTGTGTTTAAAATTTAGGTTGACGTAGCTACATTGCTGAGGGGCGTGAAAACACACACCATGAGCACCATAGCCACAGTGACCTAGCCTCCAGTGTAGAGGCAACAAGAGCAATGGAAGAATGCTTCCGTCCATCTAGCTACCATTGCTCGGGGTGGTTGTGTGCTTACACTGACAGAAAAACCCCTTCTTGTCACTGTAGGCTGCAGGCACACTACAGGGTTATGCCAGCATAGCTCTGGAGCCGTAGCTATCCCAATATTGTCCCCGTAGCATAGATATGGCCCAAGTGGCATGCTTTAGTTCAAAGGGATGCATGTGACGTGCCTTTAATAGCCATTCAAGCAACACATAAAAAATTCTTCGGTATTCAAAAACGAAGCTCTTATTTTGTTAAAAGTATGAGCACATGGTGTTCTAAACCTGTGACAGAAATAGTTGTAGCCATATTGCTCACCCCAGAAAGCTGATGCTTCTAAAGAGGAAGCCAAATGCTAGGCAGATTTCTGAGTTGTTCAAACCGAGAACTCTTATGAAATGTCAAACTGCACTGTACTGTTTCTCCTGAGGAATCTAACCTACTTCTGCAAAATGCTGAGTACCCTCAGCTCCTACTAAAGTCAATGGGAATTTTGCTTTCGATTTGATCAGGAGAAAGATTGGGCTCTAAAAAGGGAGGGGGAAAGTGTGAGAACAAAATTATGGTTGTCCTACATTGCCAATGTCTATTTAAAAATATTAGTAAGATTCAAGACCTCATAGGGGAAGAAGGGGGGACACATCTGTCAATAGGGGGGAAAAAACTGTCCAAAATTAAAAATTCTAAATCTGGTCATAATCGATAAAGTGGCTATGCACAATGTTATTATGGCCTCATAAATGTTTCTCAGAAGCTTTGAAATAGCCCAGAAAGTGTAAATACAAATACAAAGAAATAGAATTATCTTCAATGGAAATAGAAGTAAATACTTGAATACACAAACTCTTTCTCTCAAATTACATTTTTTTTAAATTGCATGCTATTGTACTTTCAGAGGTAGCCACACATTTTTCAAGTACACTCAGCTTTGTGTTTCAAATGTCATTAGAACTTAATGACATAAAAATTGTTATCTAGACTGACACAATGATTCCTGCTTCATAATAGTCTTTAAGCAGAAGAACAATTTGACACATTTAGAAAGCTGAATAGTATCTTAACAGAGCTGAAGATTTTAAAAAATAACAAACCAACGACTCCTGGAAAACTTTGAAAAACATTCAATTGCAGAACAATTCTGTTACTATATAATTTATTTGCCTTTATTTCTTCCTTCGTTTTTTTGCTCCTTGGAACATATGTATGAAAACAGGAATTTGTTGCTCAGGAACTTATTTGCTCCTGCTGTTTAGTCATCGCAGGAATTCATAATCTTCTTTTTGTAGTCCCACTCGATGATTTGACAAACATCAAATTGACAGATTAAAACAGATCTGGAGCCAAATTAGTTTAAGGCTCAAGATCGGGGTGGAGTTTGGATTGGGACAAGGGTACTAAATTGGGTTCAAATATACCAAAATCTTGTGAACTGTTGATGCATGATTTTAGATCAAAATAGAGAAAATCTTGTGAAATCACAGCTCTCCAGTGGTGGATGCACTATAATAACTATATTGATACAGAGATGGTGATGGGCAGATTAGATATCTCAGGCGATTTCCACCATCTTAAACAGTGAAAATCTCATGGGGAAAATTTGTTCTTGCAAGATTTCTGCCATTCTGGGTTGAGAGCTCACAGAAATAGGTGTTCTTGTGGGATTTCAATAGCATCTACAGCTGGGAAAATAGTCCCCTTCCATTTTGAAATGAGGAACTGGATCCAGGGATTCAAATCCAAAAACCCCTTCTACCCAATATTCAAAAGAGTTTAGATTTGAGATTCTGGTTTTGACCCACCTCTAAATGTTTTATCTAACCCTTTAACCTCTTTTAGATAAGGACAGAGCATCAGTCACCATTGTAACAAGGGAGGGGTGGCCAATCTGTGGCTCCGGAGTCACATGCGGCTCTTCAGAAGTTAATATGCGGTTCCTTGTATAGGCATCGACTCCGGGGCTGGAGCTACAGGCGCCAACTTTCCAGTGTGCCGGGGGATGCTCACTGCCCAACCCCTGGCTCTGCCACAGGCCCTGCCTCCAATCCACCCCTTCCCACCCCCTCCCGTGAGCCTGCTATGCCCTCGCTCCTCCCCCTTC